GCCCTTAGCTACAAGAACAAAGTCGACCACATGAAAATGAACTTATAGCATATCTGTATAATACCACGTACAATCTAATGACTGAACAGAATCAATTTAATTGAAGTAACACAATGGTCGATAACGCAATGTATTACTTGGTTTATTTTCAACATACTAGGTATGTGTAATTTTATATAGTTTTTATTCATTTTTGTATAATAATTAATATTTAAATTAGAATGTAGTATAAAGTACAAAGCAAACCATTGGGTTTTCCTTCTAGAAAATGCCACTGTTAATTTCCAAACCAATTACTCAATGTCTATTCATAAACAGATTGTAATTTATGTGTAAATAAAAAAAATCAAGCTCTTATTCCAAGTCAGCTTAGTCAAAATAATATAGGGGACCATATTTTTTAAGTCAAAACCGGGATGGCAATTTTTAGTTATGCTAATCCGGGACTTCATGCTAAATAAATTAAATATGACTATCCAAATGATATAATAAAATATAATTTATTTTTTGGATATATGTTTTATTCGCTTTTGATCCTTGTATAAAATTCTGTTCAATCTTCTTCATAATTAATTTGCAAAAATTAGCACGTGTGTCAGGCAGCCAAGTGCAATGTGAAAGGCTATTTTATCCCGTCGTTGGAATTTTGTATTCGACAATTTTCTCATTCATAACATATTGATTCATATATGCATACTCGTTGTTTTGTAACATAATATACATCATTTTTAGATATTTGATAGGCAGTTGTAATTTCTCCATCAAGTACATTTCGAATACCTGGGACAATCCGGAACAAAATCTGAATCCGGAACAAAAATTACTTCTAGAAAAAACCGGGACACAAGGTGTAAATTCGGAAGTGTCCCGGCCAAATCAGCCATGTATGGTCACATTATAATAAGTATATAAAACTTATAATAAGTATTTATTTCGCTTCTGAAACTAACATATGAAAGCATAAACATTTTCCGCGAGTATCGCCAATAGGTGACACAAATATGACTACCTGCATGAACCTGATAAAGGCTGTCACCAATAGACGACATCCGCATGACGACCTGTATGTATGGGTGATAAAGACTTATCACTCCGAGTAAAATTATTGAGAATTTTTAATTGTTATCGTAATTTTTAGTTTGTTAGAAGTGCAATATATAATTTTTTAATACATTTACAGTACTGCCCTAGGGCAGGTCCGTGAGCTGAGTTAAACTTCAATTCGTTTCAGGGAAGAATAGTGTGAGATTTCCCTTGCCATTGCCATTTCACACTGCAACACCCAAAATGGGCTTATTTTTAATTGAAAACTTATTATTGATCTATATTTTCTAGTTATAATGGACATCGCTGCTGCACGTCAGATTGCCAGAGCGACGGCTTGAACTTCAAAATATATATACAGAAAAAAGATTAAAAATAATAAAGTAATGGCAATCTCTAGCACAAAAATTAAGTTTGCTAATTACTAGTATGTTTTTTCTTCAATTTTGAATTTGAAAACAGTTTTCTGGCTATTTTCCGGAAACTGTTGATCGATTACCATGTGCATATATTTTTTCTGAGAATTTTCCAATTTTACCGAAAATTGTAGGACTTTTATCCGCAGCGCTTCAGTATCACACGAAGTTCAACTGTATGTTAAATAGCCACAAATTTTGAGAAGAACCTAACACTTTATGTATTACATAACAACTCAAAATCGAGAATATCCCCTATAACTTTTTACCACTTACCTCAGTTTGTACCATGGCAGGTCGTTGAGCCCGTAGAACTCGCACCGTTTGGAAAACATCTAACACACCTTCATATTGCATTCGCTCTAATACAATACTCAATGTAATGAAAACACCAGTTCGACCGACACCAGCACTGAAATTACATAAAACGTGAAATAAACCCTAAAATTCATCATTAAAATAATAAAACTTATTATAGTTCGTATATATACCTGCAATGTACTGTAATGGGTCCGTCTTGTCCAAATTGCTCCTTAGTTTTATGAACTTGTCCAATAAAATCGATAAAACCTTCTCCACTCTTAGGTACGCCCTGTTCAGGCCAGTCAATGAATTGGAACTGTCTTACTGTCTTAGAGGAACCATCTCTTGCGTCTGTGACCTAATTTTATAAATAATAAATATTTATATTTTCGATTTCTTGAAGTTTAATGAACACACTAAAATTAATAAGTTACCTTGAATTCCCTTAATATATATTGTGGCATATTATATTCAGCAATAGGGTCTACAACAAAACATTGATATCGAACAGATCGGTCAGATGGCCAATATTGAGCACATTTTTCCTATTAAATTACAATTAAATTAAAATCAGAAGTTAAACTAGTATAGGTATATTATATAACATCAGTCAACTTACTCTTCCCATTTCCTTGAGTTTTGTCAACATCACGACTATCGTCGAATTGTGTTCCCAGAGCATTCTCCACAAATCGTCAGCAGTTTCTGGCAGAGGACCTTGAGCTGCAATATAAGCGCTCCGGTATCTGTAGCCGTCCATAAAACTCGCATTTATGTAATCAGAGCCCTCGACCCCGCGTAAAGGTGTCAGACAAACCCGAGAACTCTCATAGGGAAGAATATGGATTAAACGATTTTTGTGTTTATTGCATGGTAAATTGGCAGTAACGAATCGTGATGCATCCGTAGACTTTGTGCATGATAATCGTTTGAACTCCAATTCCATGCCAGTGACAGACTCTCCTGGTTCTGTTCGCATCAGGCGCTGTATGTGGGCATGTAAACCGCGGGCTGGTATCTCTGTGTTACCGCAGACGATCGCCTCGAGAAGTGCATCGTGTATGAAAACATACTGATCTTCTGTTTGTACCATATAGTTACGCTGAGCGCGTAGGCAAGTAACGTGGCCGTAAATATCAACAGTTTTTTCGTGACGTAAACGTTCAAGCATAGAATCTATTACAATAAAGCAACCTGTTCGACCAACACCGGCGGAGCAGTGCACCACAACTGGACCACAATCAGCTGGTGTTAAAGCACGGACACGACGCAAAAATTGTAAGAATGGTGCTGGATGATCAGGTACGCCATGGTCGGGCCAAGCTGTGAACTGGAGTTGTTTAATTTCACGTCGTTCTGTAGCGCCTGTGCGCTGGATTTGGAATGTTCGGATGCAGTAAGCTGCTAGTTCCTAAAAAATCAAAATTTATTGGAGCGTTGAAAAAAATCAATTAAATCCATATTTGGTTATTTCTTACTTGTACGTCAACTGTAGTGACAGTCATTTGGCCATAAACGTCTGAACCCCTAGTCGGCCAATATTGGTCACACTTTATACGCGCTCGTTCTTCAAGTCGGGTCATCATCACAATAGTTGCACATCGCAATTCCCAACACATTCGCCAGAAATCTGAAGCTGTTTCTTGTAAAGGACCTTGGGTTGCCACATAAGCATTGTTGCGCCTAAAAAAAGTAAACAAGATTAAATTACTGCTATCTTCAGAACATTTTTGCTTAGGAATTGGTATTATAAAAAAGCTCTGTCACAACTTGCAAAATCAGAGTAATAAAATTCTGTATTTACATTGATATGCAAAATTAAAAGTTTCTAATTATTTACCTGTATCCGTCACAGTAATTTGCATTGATGTAATCTCCACCTCGGGATTCAGTTGGTTGCAGGATAACGCGACTGTGGT